TTTAGTTCCCAGGACCTGCACAGTGGAAGGAGAGAACTGACTCCAGCAAGCTGCCCTCTGACCTCCACATGCACACCACATCACTCGTGCTCACACACAAACATACGCAAATAAATAAATAAATATTTCTTATTTTAATTAAACAAAACAAAAGACAGAGAAAGCACTTGAGGAAATTTAAATGTGAATGAGGTAGAACTGGCTATTACATGGTATAAAGGAGTCAGTGTTAATTTCATCAGATACGTCAAATGTTACAAAACTATAAACCATACATACAGACATGCCAAAAACATTATGAAAAAATATTGGTACAGAGTGTGTGCTGTGGAGACAGAAAGCCAGGCTCCATAATTAACTTTAATCCCGCTTCCAAGCTATTAGTCATGTGAATTTGGAAAACTATTTGAAATCTATAGTTCTTAGACTCTTCACTTCTCTAATTCTTCTGGTTTATAGCAACATGAAACATGCCTCCCAAATATATGCTCTGGAGCTCAGTCAGCTTGTAGTGGGCTTTGCTCCTTTGTCAGATCGTATGTACTTCATCATGAATGTTTATCATTAGCTATTGAAAGACCACTGGATAAAAAATTAACAAGTACACCTCTGGGCATACACATCCTCCTGAACACTTGCCTCTGCTTTTTAGGTTACCTATGTGTCCCCGCACAGAAGCTGCCTGAACACCAGGTATGGCCATACTTAGCTCAGCGACATAATTGTTCATCTGTTTTAATCTTTACACGTCCATTCAATGAAACAATAACACAAGCACTAGAGCCGAGGCCTCAGTTTATAACAGGGATGTTGGTTAAGGAAGAACATTCTCATGCCCAGCTCATGGCTTCTAGATCATGGAGCAGTGGGCTTTTCATTCACTCGCTCTCTCTCCCCAAACCTACTTGCAGTCAAACCCATTCCAAGAGCAGCACTCACCTAATCTTGGGAATCAGGCCAAACAGAAAGAAGAAAGTATGCTGGACAGATACACAGAAAACCTACAAGAGGGGCAAAAATGACAACTGGAGAAAGAAAGGACTTCCAAGAGGTTGTTTCCATGCCCTTTTATGTTATTTGGTCACTGTTCAATGTGGGAAAGAAACAAATAGGCAGGGCCTGAGGGACACATACACTGTCTCCTCTCAGTCTCAAAGGAAGAAGACAGGGGTGTTTCTAGTAACCCTACATATGCCACTGCTTCTAGAGCAAGCTGCATTTTTGTTTGGGATTTGCTCTTACATGTTATGATACACATGTAGAAGGAAGTCACATCTGTAAGTCTGTCTGTCAGACCTCCTGGGTTTGAGAACTTAGGATGATGTTCTGGGTCTCCCTGTAACAATAAAGACATTAGAATAAACCTGTGCGGGTAGGTTATTTGTCTGTTTGAAAAAATACACAGAAAACCATATAAGAAAGGGGGGCTGAAGAGATACCTCAGTGTTTAAGATCACTGGCTGCTCTTCCAGAGAACCCAGGTTTAATTGCCATCACCCATATGGCAAATCACAACCATCTATAACTCCGGTTCTAGGGGATCCAACACCCTCCTCTGACCTCTGCAGGCATGAGGCATGCATGTGGTACACAGACATGCATGCAGGCAAAACACATATAAATTAAGTGAATAAATCTAAAACAAATAAATAAAAGGTTGTCTGCCTCCCACTTTTGTCTCCCTGTGTACTTTCCATGCTACAGGCAGACTGTGGATCTGACTGTGCCATTTCCTAATTGAAGTCTCTTTCACTCGAATCTCAGAGTCCAGCCATCTGCTGTCTCATCTTCCTTGAGTCACCTGCATCCAGACCTTTATGTCATTGCCATATTTCCATTACTGGAAACCCAACTCAAACTGATGTTTCATTGTAAATGTTTCATTAATAAAATTAATACAACTATTACAATACATTTCCAGTGAGAAGACAGTTAGGTCAGGCTACTGATACTGTTAAGATTTCCTGAAAGCCCAGTCTCAAATGTGCTTGTTTTGAATTCATTCATTCATTATTCATTTTTATTGAAGAGGCTTTCATTGTCTAATTCAAATGGCCATTTAACTTCCCTAAGTTTGGTGAACGCAGTACCAATAGATACGTTATATCTAAAAATATATTCAATAAGAACTGTAAAATGTGGAAAATAAAATTGCTAATTTGCAGTTGTGTAACTTGGTCTCCTTGTGGAACTCCTAACAGTAGGAGCTGGGGCTGTCTCTGACTCTGTTGCCTACTTTTGGGACCCTTTTCTTCTACCGGGTTGCCTCATCCAGCCTCAATAGAAGAGGAGGTACCTAGTCTCACTGCAACTGGATATACCATGACTGGCTGATATCCATGCGAGGCCCGTCCTTTTCTGAGAGAAATAGAGGAGTGGATAGGGCAAAGGGGAGGGTGGAAGGAGGGCCTGGGAGGAGAGGAGGGAGTTTGATCAGGATTTTAAATAGATAGAAAAATAGATAGACAGACAGAGATAGATAGATAGATAGATAGATAGATAGATAGATAGATAGATAAACAGACAAGAAATTGCTAATTTGTTTTCCTTCAGTGTTTTTTTTTTCTGTGTGTGTGGTTTGTGTGGGCATGTGTATAAGTGGTGTACATGCATGTACATGCATGTTTACATGTGTGTGGGCACATGCCTATGGAACCCTAAGGTTGATGTTGGGAATCATCCTTAATTACTATTCCACTTTATTTGTTAAGATAGGGTCTCTCAATTAAACCCAGAACTCACAGATATGGCTAGTATCATAGCCAGCTTTTCCTGGGGAGCCTATCTCTACCTTCTGAAGTTGGAATTGCAGGCAAACTACAGTCACCCAACATTTACATTGGTTGAGGGGATCCGAACTGTGGTCCTCATACTTGTATACCAAGCACCTTAATCACTGAGCATCTCCCCAGCACATTTTTAACTTTACTTGAGTCTCCTTCTGGCTAGACACAGAATACTACCAATAATTAGATTTTAAAAATGTATCTTTTCAGTATCCAATAGTGCAAGACTAATTATTTAAGTGTCAGTCAAATACAGAGCAGTAAAAATACACTACAAACCAATTTTTCTTGGATCATTATTTTGTATGAATAGCAAAGTAGGCTTAAGACTCAGACATTTATGATTCTTCTCTTCAACTTCTCTGTGCCTTCATAAAATATTCAATGTTCTTCCTTTCTTTTACACCTTGTTACATCAGGTCACACTGAAGTCAGAGCCTAATTCTGTCGCCGGACCCCGAGGCCCTGTTAAATCTTAATGGTTTTCACTGCACTAAAATGGGTACATGCTCTGATGCTCCATTTTATTTGTAATTCACGTCTCCAAAATGTGCCATCTGAATTTCACCCCTAATTAAATAACCTAAAGAAGCAGTTAGTCTATACAGCAATAGAATTCTCTCAGCATGATCAAGGAGTGGCACCCTGACAGGCAGCTGGCCCTTCTCTTGCATTGTGTTTTAGGAGTTCATATGAAGTAAAAGATATTAATATGGAAGGCCCTACAATTCAGGTACCTGTATTGTATTGAGCAATTTGTTTAACTTGAAACTTGGTTACTATTTTTGGTGGCTAGGCACCCAAATGTCACTAAAATGGCCATTTCCTTATGTCTGATTTAATCTTTCATGTTTTAAAGATTATTAGAGCTTAGCCAATTATTTGAGCTCTAATTTAGCTTTTGTTTTGTTTTTACCATATAGAAGTCAGTTCTTTTAAAAGATCTCTTAGTCCCATCATCCTATAGAAAAGTATTATAACCTTCAATGTCTTTACGTTTTTCTTTTTCTATGTGTGTGTTTTGCCTGCATATACTGTGTATGCCTGGTGCCCTCAGAAGCCTGAAGAGGATGTCAGGTCTCCTAGGACTGAGATTACAGATGGTTGTGAGCTGTTATGTGGGTGCTGGGAATCAAACCCGGGTCCTCTAGAAGAGAAGCCAGTGCTCTTAACTGCTGAGTTATCTCCAGCATCTCTTTTCTTTTCAAAAAAAAATGTTTAGCACTGTCCTAATCCTCTCATAAGAAAAACATCTACAACACTGATTTAATAATTTCATTAAGATTTTCTGTTCATTTATTTGATAAATGTTGCCTATGCACCTGGTAGATAACAGGTATGATACATAACTGATGCTTTCTAGAAAGAAATAATAACCACCATACTAAAATTCTAGAAACTTGTTCCAACAAGATGGTTCAGCAGCTAGATGTGCTTGCCCCCAAGTCAGAAAACCTGAGTTTGATCCCCAGAACCTATATGTTGGAAAGAGAGGACTAACTTCCTCACAAGTTGTCCTCTGGCCTCCTTGTGAAAGCTGTGGCATGCGTGTGCCCATATACATACACATACACACACATAACACATGCATGTACACACAAATAGACAAATTAATTTTTTTAAATCTAGAAACTATAGAAACAGACAGCACTAATTCCTCACCTTACTGTGACACAAGAATACAAAATTAAGGTGTGGGTAAAAATAACTACGATTCCTCAGACATATTTCAGGTGAAAATAAGATAGCATAATTTTATTGTTTTAATTAAATCTTTTTGTTGTGGTGGTGGTGTGAGACAGGGTTTCATTGTATAACAGCTCTGGCTACCCTGGAACTCACTTTGTAGATCAGGTTGACCTCGAGTTCACAGAGATCCACCTGTTTCTGTCTCCCACCACCCAGCTTTAATTAAATCTTTTATTACTTTAGCATAACCAAAGAGAATTGCAAGATTTTTATTTAAGATAAGTTGTTTATTTTCAGAAGTGAAATAGATATCCCTTTTCTTCTAACCTCGGAGGTTCTTTTCCTAAAACTAAAATGATTGAGTAGGCTTCTGCATAAAATAACTAAGAAAACAAAACCCCAACTCTGATTAGGAAGAGTAGTTCCATGTGTCCTCTCTCAGAAGCCAGTGGTTGTAGGTTCAGCCTTTGACCTACTGTACTTTATGAACTGGCCTGCAGATCCAAGACCTCAGGCATCTGTCTGTCACTGGGACGATTTGGGAAAGAGCAGAAGAATGGCTTTATCCCGTATCTGCTTGGTCTTCACTCCATAGACAATAGGGTTGAGCGCAGGTGGGATAATTACATATAGGTTGGCAAACATGATGTGAAAAGTGCGAGGGACATTGTGCCCAAAGCGATGAGCAAGGATGGAGAAGAATGCTGGTATATAGAACATGAGGATGACACAGACATGAGAACCACAGGTGCCCAGGGCCTTCTGGCGTGCGTCTCGGGAGGGAAGACGAAAAACAGCACATAGGATGAGAGTGTAGGAGACGGCTATAAGGACCACATCTATAATCACTGTCATGATAGGAACACAAAATCCATACCAGATGTTGATGGAGATATCTGCACATGCCAGACGGGCAACACCGATGTGCTCGCAGTAGGTATGGGCAATGATGTGTGTCCTGCAGAAGGGTAGGCGGTTCACAAGGAAAACACATGGGACAAAAACACAGAAACTTCGGAAAGAGATTCCTACAGCAATTTTGACAATAGCTTTGGGTGTAAGAATAGTGGTATATCTCAAGGGTGATATGCACATAGCCAGCAAGATAGCTGAGTCCAAGACGAAGCTGTAATGCAGGAAGAACAACTGGGTCAGACAGCCAGGAAAACTGATTTCCTGAGGGCCAAACCAGAAGATGCTAAGGGTCTTGGGGACACAGGTGGTAGACAATATGAGGTCAGTCATGGCCAACATGGAAAGGAAGAAGAACATGGGGGAATGCAGACTGTTTTCCACTGCGATGAGGTAGAGAAGGATGCTGTTGCCCATGATGGCCACCAAATAGATAAAGCAGAAAGGGATGCTGATCCAGACATGGTACTGCTCAAGTCCAGGGATGCCTGAAAGGGTGAAGGGGCCAGTGTTGTAGCTACTTGTGTTGGGCATGGCCACTGATATCTGAAGAACAGCTCTTCTATGCTAAAAGCAAACGTGTGTAGTGAGCATAAGGAATTGTGCGGTAGTTACTCCTCCACAACCTCTTGGAACCAGTTCTCCTCTTTCCTATATTTGAGAAAAGAAAATCAAATTACTATTAAGAGCAATACTCATGAGTGGGAGGGATGGCTCCACGGTTAAAAGCACCAGATGCTCTTCCAGAGGACCTGGGTTCAATTTCTGACACCCACTGTTGTGGGTGTGGTTGCTCACAACCATGTGTTAAGTCCAGTCCCAAGGAGAGCTGACACCCTCTTCTGACCTCTTTGGGCACCAGGCACACACATAATGCACATAAATACATTCAGGCAAAACACACAAAACATAACACAAAATAAAATAAATAAATGCCCTCCAAAAAGAGCAATACTCATGACTTTGAGAAAGAGCCATCAGACTCCTGGTGTTAATCCCTAAGTTTCTAAATCATAGAGAAATAATTTGTCCAGTTCTGAAACTACTAATCCTATTTAAGTGACCAAGTTTTCCCTGAGTCTATATAATTCATTACTGTGGGTGTGTATAGAAACAAGTACTCTAACTGCATACAGGAAAAGGAATATGCTAAAGAGAATGTCTCACTACTGGGAACATGAGTTAATTAACAGTTTTGGATACCTACTATATTCCAACATCTCTTATGTGTTATCTTATTTAGAAGCTCCTCATTAAAAAATGAATTTTGCTGGGTGGTGGTGGCGCACACCTTTAATCCCGGCACTCGGGAGGCAGAGGCAGGTGGATCTCTGTGAGATCGAGGCCAGCCTGGACTACAGAGTGAGTACAGAGAAACCCTGTCTCGGAAAAGAAAAAAAAACTTGGTTTTTGGGGGCTGGAGAGATGGCTCAGTGGCTAAGAGCTCTGACTGCTTTTCCAGAGGTCCTGAGTTCAATTACCGGCAACCATATGGTGGCTCACAACCATCTGTAATGAGATCTGGTGCCCTCTTCTGGCCTGCAGGGATACATGCAGGCAGAACGCTGTATACATAATAAATAGACAAATCTTTTTTAAAAAATGAATTTTGTCTTTTCACTTTCGTTTTGAGAAACTGAACATCTGTGAAGTTATCTATCTGGCCAAGGAAGGTGTCATCTTTAGTAACTGGCAGAGCCAAGGTCATTTGATCCCATGACCAGCACTCTTTCGTGATGCTATCCTTTACCAGGAGATGCCTGCAGGCACTGTGAAATGCTGAGGACTCACAGGAGACGTGAAGCTGTAGAAAGGACACTAATTCAAAGAACTGAGATTTGTCCAAACACCAACCCCACACCTGTTTCAGTCCCTGTCCTCCAAGCCCTGGGACTTTCAGATCAACGTGTTCTGAGACAGGGATACCTGATGCCTCCTCGTGGTGAACAACATGTGAAGCTGGACCTCCAGGCTACCCGTCAAGGATGAAGGAGGAAAATCTGTAAGAACTGGAGAAGACTTTGAGCCTATTGTACTTTTTAAAAAGAATGCTGGGAGGACCTCTAGTGGACGAAATGCAGAATGTAGTTACTCTAAATGCTGAGTCAAAGTAGAAACAAAGAAACTTGGTAAGATTTGTTTTGAGAATTTTCAGCATTTGACAACACTTGAAGATCTTAGCGTGAAACCACTTTTGTAACTCTCCTAAAAGTTCTCCAAGAAGATTGGGGAACCTAACTCAGACGGTATAGTGCTTGCAAAGCCTGTCGGAAGCCGTGGATTTCATATAAGCATTGCGTACATCCTGGGTGCCATCACCTGTCCGTAATCCCAGCATTGAGGAGGATCAGAAGTTAAGGTCATCTGGGAGTAAATAGCAAATTTGAGGCCAACCTAGGATATATGAGACTCTATCTCAAAAAAGAAAAAAAACAACAACAAAACAAAGCTATGAGATACACCAGAATATTGTCCATATTTTACAGATGTACAAACTAAATCAGAGAGAAATGACTTTTCAAAAGGTACACAATAAGTAAACAGCACATTTGAGAATCAAATACTAAGCATCAAGTCTTTAAAACTTCTATGTTCATAAGCAAAATTCACGATGGAGCTAGCAAGCTCTGTGGAGAACAGAAAGTACATGATATCAAGCACAGCAATAAACGGAGGGTTACATATCACGAAGAAAGCATAGCAAACTAAAACCATAAGGCAGGTCAACAGTAAGGCACCAACCACATCACTTATAGCTACAGACATATATTGTTTGAACTTTTCTATTATAAAATTTGTTCTCTGTAAAGTTTTTTTTTTTTTTTTTGGTTTTTCGAGACAGGGTTTCTCTGTGTAGCTTTGCGCCTTTCCTGGGACTCGCTTGGTAGCCCAGGCTGGCCTCGAACTCACAGAGATCCACCTGGCTCTGCCTCCCGAGTGCTGGGATTAAAGGCGTGCGCCACCACCGCCCGGCCTGTAAAGTTTTTTTTTTTAAATAAAATCCAATTATATGTTGCTGGCCTGTGAAACACTTATACAAAATGACCCAGAAAGGATAAAATAAAAGAATAAATAAGTGTATTTTGGACAAATTTAAATGTAACAGAAGAAAGCTTAGCAACATGGAAATAAGAAAAAGCAAATTTGAGGGTCAGTGGCAGATGGACTGGCAGGTAAAGGCACTTGCCACCAAGTCCAATGGCCTGAGTTTGATTCATGGGACCCGCATAGTGGAAGGAGAAACTGACTCCTGCAAACTGTCTTCTGACCTCCACTCTGCAGACTAGAGTATACACACACACACACACACACACACACACACACACACACTCATACTAAATAAAGCTACTTAAAAATATTTTAAGTAAATTTTAGGATGTAATCACTAAATAGAGAAAAGGGAACTGTACTGTTTAAAGGAAGACTCTTTAATGAAAATATAAGTCATGTTACTTACAGGCATTTCCTAGAATTCAATTGTGTTTATTTATTGTGTGTGCGCAGGTCACGTGGAGGTCAGAGGGCAACTTTATGGAGTCGGTTCTCTCCTTCCACCTTGACATGGGTTTTAGGGATCCAGCTCAGGTCACAAGCTTGTTCGGCCAGCACTTTTACCCACTAAGGCATCTCACCAGCCTTTTCGAATCTTTGCTTTTTATGTAATTATTTGAGCTAACTGTCCCCTAGTGAGACCCCATTCACGCAGCCACTTTCCCTGTTTTCTTATTACCCTCCAAACAAATCTTTCTAATTTTTTGGCATCGATTCATTAACTGCAGATGTTTGCACTCGTGAGACCCACTAAAACCTTTTCCTTAAAGTCCTTCTTCATACTGTGACAGAAGTGTCATACTGTGACCCAACTCCAGAGCTACAGTTGGAAGCACTGTAACTCAAAACCGATCAGTCCATACATAAAGAGAAGTCGAAGCGGATGACATGTGCTGTGCAAACACAGTGAGGTACATCTCCATACCATTCTTAATGAGGCCGGGACACATATGTCTCCCTCCATTGAAAGGACTTCTCCCAGCCCTTCTCCTACCCAGCAAAGCTGTGTTCCACTCATCGCTTCAGCTTCAGGCAAGCCCATTCCACTCCGTGCATGTAAATGATACATCCCTGGAAAAAAGTTTCCAGGTTTCTCTATATTTAAAAAGCATATTTCTTCTTTTAGGAAATTCATAATATTCATATTACTTATTTAACATTTCTTTTCCAGGCTAGACTATAAGACAAAATCGTGTCAGTTTTGATCTTTTTTCATACCATCCTCAATGCCTATACAACAGTGTCACTCAAGAACATTTATAAGCCTGGCGGTGGTGGCGCATGCCTTTAATCCCAGCACTCAGGAGGCAGAGGCAGGTGGATCTCTGTGAGTTCAAGGCCAGTCTGGACTACAGAGTGAGTTCCAGGAAAGGCACAAAGCTACACAGAGAAACCCTGTCTCAAAAAACCAAAAAAAAAAAAAAAAAATTTAAAGAACATTTATAAACTAAATATCATTAATTAAGCCAAATAAAAATGAATATTCTCATAGTCTAAGTGTCTCTGCCAATAATTTTCATATATTAAATCTGTATTACTTTCCATGTAAAGCAAAATAAGCTTACACAAATTGGAAGCCAGTTTGTACCAAGCCACATGCAAACACTAAAAGCATTTTCATTAAAGATAAGTAAGATTGCAATTGTCATTTTTATTGACACTTCCTTTCATTTTGGCTTATGCAGGCGGTGGCCGTTTCAGAGGAGCTACAGACAGCAATGGAGCTTATGGAATACAGCCCAGTGGATAGCAAAGCTACCCAGGTGCATCCTGGAGAGGCAAAGCCCTGGAAGGAATGTTTCCAGAATGCCCCTTGCTTTTGCTGTTCTTCCTTCTGTTTGCTGCTGCCATGTTCCTGTTGTATTTGGCATGATGGGATTTCTATGTGAAGGCATCCCACTGTATCTAGTATAGTGTGATTGGTCCTTGGGAAAATCCCACTCTTCACTGGGCAATTTACTTGCAGATCATGATGAAGATGATTTTTGCAAGAGCAATGATGATTAGTTAGATCTATGATTTAATTGAACTTTCTGAATTAGCCTAAAAGATACAGGTGGTTAGGACAGTTAGGAAAGATGATAAGGAGAATGGTTTAGGTTATTCCGCAGATTGCTGCAATAAAAGATACAGAAAAGGGGAAAAAAAAAAAAAGGCTAAAAGTCACCTTCCTGTTTGTCAGATGTGAGATTTGCAGACTATGGAAAGCAAGAACAAGGATGTTTCGTGCCTTATAGACCCATAAATTCTGCCTGTGGAAAAACAGGCTGATGATCAAAGAAACCAATTATGGTCCCTAAACCTAAAGTTAGAACTGAGTTCCTTGGTCATGTGACTTACAGAATTAATCACAGGCCCTGGTGTGCACCTAGAAAAAAACAAAGTTGTGAAAGGAAAATATATGAACCTGTTGTGTATAAAGAAAAATAAATGGCTAACTGGCCACTTGTTTAAAGTTTCTCTAGAGCAGAAAATAGGAATCT